CTTGTCCTTCTATCCCATGATTTTTGAGCTTACTTAGGAGCCTTTGATGAGGAACTTTATCAAAAGCTTTCTGGAAGTCAAGGTAAACAATATCTATTGGATCCCCCTTGTCCACATGTTTGTTCACCCCCTCAAAGAACACTAACACTTTGTTCTTGACACAGTGATGACACCATAACATGACAAATGTTTAAAAGGCAATTCTCAAAAAGTGGTTTAATTGGGTTCTACTGTGCGAAACACTGCGTGTTTGCAAGTCTGTAAGGTTTGTCATGACAAACGTTTAAAAGGCAATTTTCACAAGCGGTTTAATTGGGTTCTACTGTGCAAAAGGCTACACGTTTGCAAGTCCTTAAGGTATTTATACACTGTCATGACAAACGTTTAAGAGGCAATTCTCACAAGTGGTTTAATTGGGTTCTACCGTATAAAAAGTGCATATGATTGCAAGTCCGTAAGGTACTTATACACTGTCACGACAAACATTTAAAAGTCAATTCTCACAAGTGGTTTAATTGGGTTCTACCGTGCAAAAGTCTGGATATGTTTGCAAGTCTGTCATAAGTTTCAGAGTGCAGCACTCTCAGTTCACAGCAGGACAGCTAGATTTGAGTCCAGTAGCACCTTGGAGACAAAGGCGATTTTTTGGGTCTAAGCTTTCGACAGCCAAAGCTCCCTTCTCCAGACACAAGTCAGAATGGAGATCTTTGAGGCCTTACCTCCCATTCAAAAGGTGGGAAGGGTGTCACAAAGAAAGGAGTCAGGATGCAAAGGAACAATGGACATTGGGAACCCCCCCCCCCAACATTCCGACTTGTATCTGACAAGGTTTGACTCCTGACAGCCCATACCCCAAAAATCTTGTTGGTCTCTCAGGTTCTACTGGACACGAATCTACATAAGAACGTAAGAGAAGCCAATGTTGGCTCAGGCCAGTGGCCCATCCAGTCCAACACTCTGTGGCACACAGTGGCCAAAAATACCAGGGGCCATCAGGAGGTCCGTCAGTGGGTTCAGGAGGACACTAGAAGCCCTCCCACTGTTGCCCCCCAAGCACCAAGAATACAAAGCATCACTTGCCCCAGACTGAGAGTTCCTATCTATACCTTGTGGCTAAGAGCCGCTGACGGACCCCTGCTCCATATGTTCATCCAATCCCCCCTTGAAGCCGTCTATACTTGTAGCCGCCACCACCTCCTGTGGCAGTGAATTCCATGTGTTCATCAAGTTCCCCTGCCTCTATTTTTTTAAAGCCATTCAAAAATCAAGAGGGACTCAGAATGCATTGAATGGGGAAAACAACAGGACCTCTTTTTATTTCCCTGGTGCTACCGTATCTTGCTTATGGAGGGCTGTCATGTTTTTGAACTCCTCATCTCCACATTTCCGGCGGGCTTGCTTCATCTCTAAAGGCCGCCAGAATCCTACACAGTACATAAGACCAGTAAGGTTTCCAAAGAAAAATCCAACCGAACGAAACAGAACACCGAAAGCTCATTCTTAATTAAAAACTTAAATCCTGGATACAAAAAACAACAACAAACACCCTGGCAAGACCAAATTAGTCATGATGCTTTGTTCACTGCAACCCCGACTGGATCTCATGGGCAAAATGCCAGACACCCCCAAACAGTGCGGGCCCACCTGTCCTTAGAGGACAACACAAAACCAGAACGAATGCCTGACTCATACAACTTTTAGTATGGGCCCATTACAACCAAGCAACTTCATGGGAAAGGACCCCCCCCCCCTGAAAAGGGGATTAGCTCCGCAGGCTTTTTGGAGAACTGGCAAGGAAGTCACAAAAGCATAAACAGCAGACAAGACAGAACGCTTGCGGGGAGGCCGGGATATAATTAAAACAAAATAAATACATAAACTCTGAAGAACTCCAATAGTACAAATGCCATGGAAACGAGTAGCCCATTCTGGGAAAAGATGATTAATTTACTTCTGTCAGAGTCCAGTAGTACCTTAGAGACCAACAAAATCTTTGCAGTGTGAACTTTGAAGAGAGCTTTGACTATCATAACCAGTGTTCCCTCTAAGCTGAGTTAGTGTGAGCTAGCTCACAGTTTTTTAGCCTCCAGCTCACAGATTTTTGTCTTAGCTCAGGAGGGACGGCTCCAGAGCAAACTTATTTATTTATTTATTTCGGCTTCTACCCCGCTCGAACCCCCTAGGGGGTCTCTGAGCGGCTTACAGTTACTCTGTTATCCCTAACTATGGCCACATCTTAATTGGGATGGGGACTGCCCTACCAGCACCCCTATAGCTGGAGCTGTTGTTCTCTCTTGATCTTAGCTCGGCACCTCGGTCCATTACCGGCTCGGCTCCCTCCAGTTCTTCCTCCTTCTCCTCTTGCTGTCCTCAGCGTCGGCTACGGTCGGCAGCTCCATTCACTTAATTTGTGCAGCAGCCAAATCGCTGGCTCACGGCTTTAATGCCAGTTGCTCACAAAGTAGAAGTTTTGCACACAAGACTCCACAGCTTAGAGGGAACATTGGTCATAACCTCTCCCTCGGAAAATATTGTTGGTCTCTAAGCGGAACTCGAATCCAGCTCTTCTACTGCAGACAACTACGGCTACCCTCTGAAACGATCTTTATTCCTGTTAAACATTGCTATCTTGCTTCTCCGTAGGGTATCAATAAAGGTACCTTTCAACAGTAAAAAATAAATAAATAATAAAAATCTAAAAAACAGTAAAACAACAAATCAACAAGACAAAAGGGGGGAAACGGAAGCAGAAGTAGGAAAAATGGAACAAGAAATTAAAGCAGCACCCATGAACCGCAGAAAAGCCTTTTACAAACACAAATACAATACCTTTATTGGCATAAGAGATAAACTACAACGTGCAGCATAGTGCCTCAAGATAGCAGGAGGGGGGTAGCACATTCCAAATTGCCTTAATATGAGCCTCTCCTCCTAGATACCTCATAAAATATTTTTTCCCAAAGGTTCAAGAATTTCTATATTATGAGAAGACAATAAAGAAATGATTTTATACTCATCAGACTGGCCCAAAAGGGGGTCCATCACAGGTTCAATGTAAGCAACACGATTGTCATCGTGGAATTTACAGTACAAAAGCACGTGTCCAATAGATTCAATTTCCCCCATTCCACATGGGCACAATCTATCAGCTGAGGGAAGGACGTCGAACCGAGCCTTTTAAAAGTACCATGGGATCAAAAAAAACAACCTGATATTTATTTATTTATTTCGATTTATATCCCGCCTTGCCAAGGCAAACTGGCAACTAGTGAAACAAGGGAGGGGACCTAAAAGAGAGCCAGTTTGGTGTAGTGGTTAAGTGCGCGGACTCTAATCTGGGAGGACCGGGTTTGATTTCCCACTCCTCCACTTGCACCTGGCTGGATGACCTTGGGCAAGCCGTAGTTCTGACAAGAGCTGTTCTCTCAAGGACAGCTCTGGAAAGAGCTCTCGCAGCCCCACCGACCTCACAGGGTGTCTGTTGTGGGGAGGGGAAGGGAAAGGAGTTTGTAAGCCGCTCTGAGACACCTTTGGGTAGTGAAGGGCGGGCTATAAATCCAATCTTCTTCTTCTTCTTCTTCTTCTTCTTCTTCTTCTTCTTCTTCTTCTTCTTCTTCTTCTTCTTCTTCTTCTTCTTCTTCTTCTTCTTCCTCTTCCTCCTCCTCCTCTTCTTCTTCTTCTTCTAAAAGGCATGGAAGAATAAACATACCTTAGCCTGGCACCCAAAAACCTGAGGTTTGAGACCCGCCAGACAGAAGTAGAACCATCAGAGACTTCCACATCTTGGCCCCCTGGTATGCAGCTAACGGAGGTCCACGAGAATCAACAGAGTCACACTCTCCCCCTCCTTCTTTCCCTTGATGACGAACCAAAGCAGTATTTCAGTCCCAAAACTGGACTGAAAAGGATCAAGAAAATCCATCTTGCCCAAGAATGTTTGTAATCGCACAGCTACCACTGGTCCTTTTTGGACGCCAAATTAGATGTCTACTTCTTGATGACGGTTAGGAAGATCATTCAGGTCTAGAGGGGGCTTTTTAAAAAGGAGAACTTGGGGGCAAACACAAAAGGCTGCGAGCGCATGGAGGATAGAATCATAGAATCATAGAGTTGGAAGGGACTTCCAGGGTCATCTTGTCTAAGTCCCTGCACAATACAGGAAATTCACAAATACCTCCCCCACCCCACCCCTAGTGACCCCTGCTCCATGCCCAGAAGGTGGAAACCCCCCCCCCCCCAAAATCCCTGGCCCGGAGAAAAAATGCTTC